GATGTGACTGCGCTTCAGCGGACGGTTCTAACCTCTACGACAACCGCCAATCAAATCAAGCCTGTTGTGTTATATGAGAAAGACTAGAGTAAGATTTTTTCAATGTTCTAGTATTCTATTTCTAGTATTGATGCAATTATGATGGTTTTAATCAAACAAATTTTCATAAAAATTTCTCAATTTTTTTCAATAATTTCATAAATAAAAATTCATTTTAACCTGATTATCTTAATAAATTTGTTTGATTAAATACATGAATTAATGAACTGATTGATTATAGAATATCTGTGACCCGTGCTGGCAAAATGAGTCTGAATATGCATGGGCTAATTTTGAACTACATGCAAAAGAAGAGAAAAGTTTTTCACAAAAATGAGTCCATTAAGCCCTCGTCTAGAGATCCCAATGCTCTAAATAGTAATTAAACATCTAAAATGATCTTTATTTGTATGTTTTCTGAGAGGTGAACCTTTTTCTTTTCCACTGCTTGACAACTGGTGCTTCCCCTCAGCACAAGTTTGGTATAGTTTGTGAATGTTCATGGCGAATTCTCGATGGCATGAGTGTGAAGCAGTGAAATGTGATTTTCTAACCCATGCTGATGTAAATAAAACGATCACGCTGACTGACACATCCGAAGCGTGTGAATAAAGATGCGTCTCTCAGACAGCGCGTGATCCCGATATACGCAGATCACGGTATTTTAAAATATCTGTCTTGGCTAGTGTTCACGCAAACATAATCTGTTACGTCTTCAGTGAACATTTTGTGAACTTTTGGGGAAAAACTTCTGATGTGTAATAGTATATTAGATCCGTGCATTACAGTAGGTCTTAAAATATAGGCTGTCTGTCTCAATGTTAATCTGTAAAACTAAAACTTAATAAAAGACCTATACAGACATAATAAATGTAGACATAATTTAACTACAATTAAAATAAATAACAAATACATATTATACAAATCAAATGACAGTAGTTTATCAGTAATCTTAAAAAATAACACTGCCAAACACACATGCTAAAAAACAACAACTTACTTACACATAGTAAGAAATGGTTATGAAAACTGAAACAGAAGTGAAACAAGTAATAGGAAAGAGAATGATTCAAAAGCGATACTTATGTCCCTTGCCGGTGTCCCTGCCCGGTGGAGTCGCACAGTAGAGTCAATGGTCTTTACACTCTTCGGTCTTCACACGAGGAGGCCGTCACGCGACGGCTGCCGCGGTAAACTAAGCTTTTTTATACCTGTCTAACAAAATACTAAATTAATTCAGCTGGACACACTTTCCTTATTTTGTTCCACAACAAATGGCCAAGCAAGCGCAGACACTGACAAGATACGCGATACAGAACGAGACCAAACGCGTCTCCTTATCTCTTTACGCGTCTACTTATCAAACCTTTTCATCTGTAAATAGCACATATGCACACTCATAATTCTGTCTATTGCCATTTTTCCTCTATATTTTATTACCATGTTGTTATTTTTATTTATTGTTTATTTTCTTTATTATTAGAGTTTTATTTCATTTTATTACCTTAAAGTATATGTATGTCTGCACGTTGTCTGTACTTTCTGCACTGGAAGCTCCTGACACTTGGCAATAAAGCTCTTTGTGATTATGATTCTGATGTATATGCACAGTAACATACTATCATAACCAAATGCACAATAACATATTTTGGCTCATTCTGGCTTTAATTTAGCCAAAATATTGTTAAATGCTGTTCTGGACACTATAGCTCCGTTCCAAAACCTGTGTATTGCCTACATAGACAACGTTATACTCAGGTGTCTTTCACACGGGATGCACCTCTTTGAACTTGACAAAACCACAGCACTTATGGTAAAAGAAAAAAAAAAGTGAGACACGTTGCAGCAGTCAAAGATGCTAACATGATGTTTTGCTGATTGGAAGAGAGCTCAGGTGTATATGGTTCACTGTGCACTGTTAACACCAGTTCAGTTTCACAAATTCATTAAGCAGCAACACATTTTCACATATCTAAATGTTTACCATGGTTACGTATTTACAGCAATGGTGAATTGTTTTCCAATAAACTCAGCTTTTTCCCTTGAGGTTTATGGGTTGAGCTTTCAATATAAACAGGAAGTGCCAGATTAGAAGAAGCTGATTCAGATAAAGAATGCTAAGCACAGACACACTTCTTCAAATCAAATGTTTGATGCAACTTTGAACAAAGAGGACTCAGAGGTGAGCATCTATGTTGTTACACGCTTAATATCGAAGCAGCAATGTCTCCATAATAACATTCACAAAAACAGCTGAGCAGGATGTTTACCATCATCAGAGGAGCATTAAACTAGCACAGATTGCTGCTTGTGTTAGCAAACATTGCATAAACTATCATAAAGCTGTTCATTTGATTTCTAGACCAAATATGGGGAAGAAACACTTTAAAGGGGTCATATGATGCGATTTCAATTTTTCCTTTCTCTTTGGAGTGTTACAAGCTCTTGGTGCATAAAGAAGATCTGTAAAGTTGCAAAGACTAAAGTCTCAAATCCAAAGAGATATTCTTTATAAAAGTTAAGAGTCAGCCACGCATTCCTAAAACGACTCGTTCTAACACGCCCCCACATGTCTACGTCACGATGTGGGAAGATTTGCATAACGCCGCCCAAATGTTCACGCAAAGAAAGAAGGCGTAACTTTTATTCTTGCTGTAGTATTGTTGCCGTCGCCATGTCGTGAAGGCGCTGTGTGTTTCGTTGTGAAAGCGAAACTACTTTGTTTGGTCTT